TCCGCCTCTGCTCACAGCAGCCGTGTCACTGAGGCATTCTCAGGCACAATTTATACACACGCGTGTGTGGTTTCTAAGTGGCTCAGAGTTTAGTGACAAAGCTGAAGAAGTGGCCAGGTACCAGCATCGGAACCCAGGCTTGTCCACCTCCCATGCCCAACCCCTTTGCGCTCTACCCTCGTCCCCTGGGTCACTGAGCTACTTAACTGCTGGAAGCCCTGGGATCAAAACAAAATAGCTTGGAATCAGGGGTAAAATGTGCAACCCAGAGCTGTGGTTCCCACATGTGGCTGACGCGTTAGACTCATCTGAGATGCTTCATAAAAACACAGACGGCTGCCTCCTTCCAGGTTTCTGATGGTGTTGGTCTGAGAGGAGGCCTGAAATCGGGATTTTTACATACTTTCCCCGTGATTCTGGCCATCGGTCTGCCTATTGACAGAAAGATGAAAACAAGGGCCGGATCATTCAAGTTAAGCTGTTTGGAACTTGGATTTGAAGCAACAGTGTGTAAAAGGAGAAACAGTGAAGAGGGCGTGTCCCGGGAGCACTTAGGACAGTGAGGCTGGTAGGCCAAGGCCCAGAAACATGACCGAGGGTGATCAAGGGGGTGGAAGTCAGAAGCAGCGTCTTATGGAGCATCTTCTAACCCTGGCAGAGATCTTTAGACCCCACACCACGACAACAAGGAAACACAGAGTTTATGGGGCGTGGGTAATACGATCAAAGTGATACAGAATAAATCAAACAGCAGATGAGCATCTGGGCCAGAAAGGGCAACTACAAAGCTGTTGACATGGAGGCAGGAGCTGGTAAGGCCCCAAGAGAGGAAAAACTGAAAGGGAAAACTGTCCGGAGCACTAAAATGAGAACTCCCAAAAGACAGAGGGGTTCGCCTGGTTTGCTCACTGCTTTATCCTGAGCGCCTAGTGGGGGCTGAATCAGTATCTGTGGCATAAACAACGTGCAGGTGGACTCAGAGGCCAACCGGCCGTGTAAGTCAACAAAGATAAATGAGTCAGGGACACCTTCAAGATTCAAATCCAAAAGACTACAATTAAAGAGACGGCTCAGGCACAGACGACAAGAGTAGCTTGTTTTCAGCACAGGCCCTTCTTCATGATTTCTTGCTTTTATTTAGTAAAATAAAAAATGTCCTGCTTTTATTTAGTAAACTTTATGTTGGCTTCTGGTCCAGGAAAGAATTCGGTGATTTTGAGACGTTACAATGTCCTGTCGCCAGTGGCACGGATGGCAAGTCTTCTGTGTTGGGGAAGAAGAAAACGATGGGTGACATCTTGCAGTTTGATTTTAGGAAATGGAGGAGGGCCACTCTCATGAGAATCTAAACTCAGATGACAATCCTCACGTGACCTATTGGATCACTGCCAGCTGGCATGCCAACAGCACAGTGGCTTGACCAAATTCCCTATAAGCCTGAGAAAGGTGGCCCAGCTCTATGTGGCTGGGTCTGCCTCAGGGGCCTTGCCAACCTCAGGAGACCCAGGCCACCTAGAACTGGCCAGTCAGGTCTCTGGGGGATTCTGAAGACTTGAGAACTAGTCCCACCTTGAAAAAAAAATCTAGATGATTCTTTGAAATCCTTTCCAAACTAATGGTTATTCAAGGCACTATTTGAGTAATCACGGTACACAGTCTTTCGAAAGGTGAGCCCCATCAAAACTAGGTGTCCCTGCCTTGGCTGGTTTGGCTCAGTGGATAGAGCATCGGCCTGTGGACTGAAGGGTCCCAGGTTCGATTCTGGTCAAGGGCATGTATCTTGGTTGCCAGCTCGATCCCCAGTAGGGGGCGTGCAGGAGGCAGCCGATCAATGATTCTCATCATTGATGTTTCTATCCCTCTCTCCCTGTCCTTTCCTTTCTGAAACCAATAAAAATATATTAAAACACACACACACACACACACACACACACACACACACACACACACACAAACTAGATGTCCCAGGTTCCAGAAGTAAGGGTTGGAGGGCATACTCAAATTCCTCCTAGCATCTTCTGCAAGCCTGATCTTACAAGATCTTTCCTTCTTAAATGACATCTACCTACGGCTAATATCCACCTCCCAGAGAAAGGGCCCTTGTTTCTATAAAATTCCCTAGCAAAAGTAATTTGTTTCATTACTCCAACAGCCAAGGCACATATTTTTAAAGCACCGCAAAAGGTTATATTGTTCCAATTTTATTCTCCCTTCTAATGCAACTTTCCCAAAGCCTGCCTTTCATAACACACAGAGAGGTAATGCATGGGTCTGAATGACTTGACAGTTTCTTTTCATTTACACACACCTAAGTATGTGTATAAAAATCCCACTAGTTCAAAACACTTCCTTTTTTAAAAACATATTTCCAGTTCAAATTATGCATTTATAACAGACTGCAATATATTACTTCGAAAGCTAAACAGTCATGTAAAAAAAAAAAAATGAACAGAGAAACAGCAACATATCACTACCGCCACGCTCAGTCAGCCCTTCCCCTCGCAAGGCGTTCCGTTCCGCAGTGAGTCTTAACCTGCCAGTGGCAAGTACAAACGCATCAGCACCAATAGGCTGTCCCTGCTGTCCCGTGTCCATAAGGGCCACCAGTTCCTTTTCACAGACAGCTTTGAGCCTTGGTTTCTGAGAACCTTTTTTTCTTTCTTTCTTTTTTTTTTTTTTACCCTTGGGCTTAGTTGAAACTAAAGAATTCACTAACTGCAGACATTTTCCCTTTCTTCCTTTCAGAGACAGGTTTTAAGCTCAGATCACGATGTCTAACTCCCAGGAGACAGCAGTTTTCCAAGAGAAATGGGAAGTGCTGGAAATAATGTGCTATAGAAAGGCTGAATGTTTAAAAATTAAATCTTTCAACGTCGCATGCATTTATGCCGATGGACATGAAACAAACAGACTGAAAAGTGATGTAAGTGGACTATGTGGAAACAGCTTCCATCGAAAACTGGTTCACTGCCTAACAAACACTCTGCTACAGTCTCCAAGTTCACATTTTAAAAATATCTAAGCACGCTTTTGGGCGATATTCCAGTGGCTGCCAACAGTATCTACCACAGCAGCTCACTCAGAAAGCACACAGTTCTGGTTGGAAAGTAGAACCCCAAAATTGAGTTTGGGGGAGAGGTGCCACTGGGGAGGACAGTAGTGCACCTAAGTATGTGTATGTGCAAACAGCTGCACTACTGTCGAATTTATGCTAAAACCCAGAGAGGCAGAAGATAGAGACATTCTTTTCCTAGAATCCCCAAATAGTAACATTCCCTGTAAACCCAGGGGGAAAATAAATAAATAAATAAGGACCTCCTCAAGCTTGCACGGCTTTTAGGCAGGCTTCTCTTGCAAACCTTTAAATGGAGTTCTCCCTTTGCCCTCTTTTGCAACCAGATGAACACTAATGTTTTTCTGAAATAAACAGAGAATCTCTCCTTTTTTGTGCACAACAAGCCAAAGTTCATCGCTGGCTGGGAGACTACCAATCCCAGTGGATTAAAGCTCGTTTGCCAAAGAGAAATAATACTGATAAGGCTCGGAGTTCTATTTGGGTTCTCGCACCTGAACACTCACCTACTCCGTCAGTGCACCATTCTGCCTGCTCTCCCATCTCCTGGAGCCTTTGGGGACCAGCTAGCCCACACAGGCTCCCGCACTGAGGAAAAATGCCCATCTGCTGCTCAGCGCCAAAGAGGTTTCCCAATCCTCAATTGCCTCAACTCCAAAAAGGGAGAAAGGGGAAGCAACACCCCAAAGGGGAGGGGGGAAACGGCACCACCCCTAAAGCTGGCATTACTCATTAGAAGAGACACCTCCGTTCACTAGAAACCGGCACAGCATTCGCTGGCAAAGGGAAGGGACGCGGGGAACTAGGAGGCACAGAAACAGCTGGACTCCTTAACCGAGACCCCAGAGGGCGCTGACGCTGCAAACGTAATCGGGGTGCAGCTCGAGGCGCCCAGGTCGGGGCCGCCACGCACCAGGTAAAGCCCAGGAGACAGTTCCCATTAGAGGGCGCTCGTAGGGCGACGTAGGGAAACAAGCTCCAGCCGCCGAAACCCACCCAAAGCAGAAACCAAGTGCCCGCTGCCTGCGGGGCTGGAGAAGAGGCGTCCCGGCCCCGGGTGCACCCCCGCCAGGGCCCGCGATGGCGAGCGCGGCGGGATGGAAGCCTCGGCCCGGGCCGCCTGGAGACCCGAGGCCGACGGTGTCACTCGCATCCCACGCGGCACTCCGGTGCCGTCCATGTTAACATGTCCTCCCGTCCCCGAGCGCGGGCGGGCCGCCTCGGTTCTTCAAGGAGGAGGGGGTCGCCGCAGGACCGGATCGCGGCGGCCCGCGCCCCGGCATTTCCCTGCCGTTTGGCGAACCCCCCGCAGGAAGGCAGACTGCGCCTCCGCGGGCAGCATTTCCACGTCGCGTTGGCCCCCTCGCCCCAGCCACGGAGATCAGACAAAAGAACTTTTGCAAACTTTCCTCTCCCAACACACGCGGCTCGCTTCCATCACGGCCCTCTCTCCTCATTACTTGCATTCAACCGAGTGGGAAAGCCGGCGTGGGAGATGGTGTGCAGAGGGGGGGACCTCAAACTTTCTCCGTAGCCCCTCAGTCGTGAGGAGCGCGAGGAGGGGGCCGGTTCCCTTACGTCTCCCACCCTTTCCCCTGGGTCCTTCCCGGGGGGCACAGCAAGGCCCTCTGAAGGCGAAGTTGGTGGTGACTTCAGGGGCCTCTGCGGTTGGACCAAACGGCGATTCTCGCGCCCTCATCCCCGGGGACCGCGGGGCAACCCCAGCGCGCGGCGCCTCTGCTCTGCGGGGAGGGAATGAGGGGTGGGGAGCGGACGCCCCGGGGGCCGAGCGCCGATCGGGGGGTGGGGGGTGTGGAGGTGAGAACCCCCAGGGGGCACTGCCCGGTCCCCGCGGGCGCTGCGGACTCCCTCCCCCCCACCTCCAGCACCCCGAAACGGCGCGCGCGACCCCGCCGGGCCCACTCACCGACTCCGCCGACACGCAGGCCACGAAGCCCAAGGTGAGCAGGATCCAAGCGCGCCGCATATTCCCCGAGGACCGGCTGGGAGCCGCCGCTGGCAACCCGAGCGCCACGAAGCCTCTTGGCCAGCACCGGGGCGCAGCCCGCGAACAGGGATCCGAGCAAAGCAGCTGCAGCGACCGCCGCTCGGGCTCGGGGGTCCGGCTCCGGCTCCGGCTCGGGGCGCTCTCCGCCTCCTCCGGCGTCCGCCCCCCAGTCCTCCGCTGCGCCCGGGGACGCGCCGCCTTCTCACTTGTTGGTTTCTGCGCTCCCGGCCAGCGAGCTGGGCTCTGGGGAGGCTGCTCTCCGGAGCGCTTCTCGCTCTGCGGTTATTTCACTCCCCCGCGGGCTCCTTCCCCGCGTCGCGGCTCCGCTCCTTTTCCGGAGGAATCAATTCGGAAGGGCTTGGAATGGAGCTGCAGCTGAAGTTTGGGGGCAGCGCGGCGGGGGTGTGCTCCGCGCGGCTGGAGCTCCCCGCGTATCTGGAGGGGAGCGTGGCGGAGCGCGGAGAGTGGCTCGCCGGCTGCGCCCCTCCTCCACGCGCGCCGCCTCCCTCCGGGGTCCTCCTCCTCCCGGCCTCCGCTCCCTCCTTCCCTCCCGCCCTCCTCCCTCCTCCCCGAGCTGGCTGCTCCGGGCTCTCCCGGCGTCTGGGGGAGCGGAGGCGGCAGTGTGACTCCCAGCTAAACCCCGGAGAAATTCCTACGGGATTACGCCCCGATTGGCAGCCCCGAGGACCGGTGGGCGGCTCGGCGCTTCGGCTCCCCGGGTCGGCTCACCCGCGATCTGTACTCCAGTGGCTCCTTCATTTTCTCCTCCCTTTTCCTCTTCTCTCCCCGCTTTTCCTCTCTCCATCCCCACGCTTTTTTGCTCGGTGCTTCTCTATTTCGTGTTCTCTTCACTGTCTTTTTTCTGGAGAAAGATCGATGAGGCAACGAGAGCCATAGTTGTTAGCCTGCGAGAATTAGACCATAGAACAGAACTGCTTTGAGAGTTGGAAAAACACACATAGTTCACAGATGCCTTCAAGCAGTGGGAAGTGTTCGTAAATCTCCAAGTCATGGAAACTGTATTTTAAAAGAGAAGACAATACAGGTAACGTGTATTAAGAGAATTCCTCCCCCCAGTCCCCCACCGCCCCCCCCCATAAAAAAGAGAAGTAGAGGAAGACTCCGATAAACCCAAAATACAGCACTTTCAAAGCTCATAATTTCATTAAGAGCTTAAATACCATTTTTGCCTCACACACAGTTTAAGCCCCTAAGGCGTTTTATAGACTTCATTTCAGCATAGAGATCTTAACATTTGGAAGCTACAAATAGGGTAATTTGGTGAAAAATTGGACGGAGACCCTGAATAATAACAGATTTAAGAGAACTTCAAAGAAAAGAGGGATATAGTAATTTCTAGTTTGAAGAAAATAATGAGCATGTATTTCCCGAATGAAAGTAATTGATCTGAAATATTTTAATTTTTTTTTTTTCAATTCCATGTCTGGGGTATATTACAGAACATGGCAAATGCATAGCCCCTTCCAGTTCTAACTACTTTTCTCTCTGACTTACAGAGTAATGAATAATGAAGCCATCCTGCTTCTAGAATGCCTGCTTCAGAAGACCAGGGACCTTTCTATCTTGCCCACCACTGTTTTCTCATTCCTGGTACATAAGACACACAATAAATATTTATTGAATAAATTTTGTTCTAAAACTCAATCTATACTGTATTAGAGTTGTGATCCTTTAAGATACATAGATCCTATATAATAAAAGCCTCATATGTAAATCAACCGATCAGCAGAACAACCAGTGGAACGACCAGTCACTATGACGTGCACTGACCACCAGGGGGCAGACGCTCAATGCAGGCGGGTGCCAGCAGGGGGAACTCCCCACTCCCCCCTCCACCCCCCGGATCGCCCTACCTGGTCGCCCTGCAAAGGGAGGCAACCAGTGGCAGCAATGGTGGGGGGGGGGGGGGCTGGCTGGCGGGCGGCACCAGGCCAGCCAAGGTGGGTGCCAGTGGGGTCCCCTGATTGCCCCGCCGGTCACCCCACAGATAGGCCCTGATTGCCGGCCAGGCCTAGGGACCCTACCCGTGCATGAATTTTGTGCACCGAGCCTCTAGTGTAGATATATAGATACGAGGCTATGGTAATTTTTGAACTTAGTATTAGAATAAAATACAGTCATACTCTGAGAATTACATCTTAGTAATGTTCCACTGTAATAAATCTCAAAGAAAGAAATTTCGAGAACTGGAGAGTTACAACTTAAAGGAGACAGCCAGCTCTTGGCTTTTGAGTGCCAACTACCAAGCTTCCCGTGGGAAAGTTTAAGGGTTGGCCAGCCAGGAGGGTCATATGGAGAAATTGAAGAGTGAGCAAAGAAGAAAGGAAAGAAGGAGAAGATCAGGGCACTAGAAGTTGTAACACTGGATGCTTCTGATTCCATAGAAATTGAGCTAGCACCTCTGAATGCATGTGAGTCCAGGTTGGTTTTTGGAAGATTGAACTATGACCATATTTTGAAGAAGTATTCTTTGTGGGTTGAAGAATTTCACAAAGAGAGACTTCCTAAAGGAGGCTCCAAAAAACTAAATGAGCAATGTGAGAGAAATGCAGAGCCATAAAATGTCACCTCTACTCCCCAAAGAGACCTCATCTGCTCTTCAGCCTTCAGGCAAGACCACACCCCCTATTCTCTCCCAAGAGAGTACCTCAAATAATTTAGAATTCTAATAAAAGGTAAAAAATGCAGTCAACCACTGGGTCTCACAGTTGTTGCTGTTTATTGGGGCATTCCGCCTAGCAAGAGGCAAAGATTGATAAAACTGAATAAGCAGATGCCTCTGTTGAAGGAATGTATTGTCCATGCACCTGGGGACATATCCCAAGGCTCTTTCCATTTATGAGACTCTCAGCGACTTGGTCTTTATAAATGACCATGCCACATTGAGAGTACATGTAATATAAGGGGATGGTACTGTTTTGCCAATTAAACATAGCAGGCATATGATAACAATATTAAAATCTTATGCTCGCCGAAACCGGTTTGGCTCAGTGGATGGAGCGTCGGCCTGCGGACTGAAAAGTCCCAGGTTCGGTTCCAGTCGAGGGCGTGTACCTGGGTTGCGGGCACGTCCCCAGTGGGAGATGTGCAGGAGGCGGCTGATCGATGTTTCTCTCCCATCGATGTTTCTAACTCTCTATCTCTCTCTCCCTCCCTCTCTGTGAAAAATCAATAAAATATATTAAAAAAAAAAAAATCTTATGCTCAAATGCATTAGCTGGTGTGGCCAAAAGGATAATCTGATTATAGGAAAATCACTAATAGTGAAAGCACTCCACAAGGGCTGGATACAAAAAAGCCGCCTATGATGAGTGGAATGGGGTCAGGGACAGGGGCTGTCCCCTGCTGTTAGGAACAAGTCTCAATATTGGAGATGACAAAGGCTGAGTAGCGCATAAACAACAATTTATTTCTCACAGTTCTGGAACCTGGGAAGTCCAAGATCAGATTCTGTGTCTGATGAGAGCCCTCGTCCTGGTTCGTGGATGACTGTCTTTTCTCTGTGTCCTCACATAGCAAAGGGGAGAGGGAACTCGCTGGGCCTCTTTTATAAGTGCACTAGTCCCATCCATGAGGGCTAAGCTCTGTTAACATAGAGACAACAGCCCCAACATGGAGTCACTTCTGCTAAGCCCCGTGACACCAAACCGAGACTTAACACCGTCCTAACCTAATTGCAGTTTCGGCCTATCTCAGGAATATGACCTTAAATTAAAGCTGGAGCTTCCTGGCCAGCACTCATGAGGTCATCCACCCGACAGACCCTTTTCATCACTAAAGCAAAGTGACATTGTCTGAAGCACTGTCCACTCTTTCCTCCTTCCTGCCTAGGAAAACCTGCCATTTTGCCCAGTTCCTAGGAGCGCCTTTCTAGCTGCTGGATGGGATGCTGTCCAACTCATGAATCGTTGCATAAGGCCAATAAGATCTGTAACATTTACTCAGTTGAATTTTTGTTTTTTCAATAGCCCTCATGATCTAAGAGCTTCCCAAAGGTCCCACTGCCATATGCCATCGCCTCGGAGATTAGGATTTTAATATGTGAAATCTGGGGGGGACACAGACATCTATTGGTGGCCTCTTTGTGTGTTTCGTTCATTGGATTTTTTAACGGATGAGGACTTTCATTCGGTAGGATTTTGTGGACTATACCTAATACACCAAGTGTAGCTTGTGACTAGAGCCAACAGTTCCTCACTAATATGTGTCTGCAGGACCTCTGATTGAGGACTGTTCTTTGAGGAGCACAGCAAGCAAAATATCAAAACCAGTCACTCCCCAGATAGCTTCCCTGGTTGTTATGAGAATAAACTCCCTGCCTCAAAATCTCAGAAGGAAATGGAATAAACAGAAACCGAAACAGGAATTAAAAGGTAACCAGACAAAATGAAAAAAGGAAATGAAAGCTACTAGGGTCATATTTTTTAACCTAAGCTGACACATTGGATTCTGTCTCTGGTGTCCACGGATATCACATTATAACCATGGACAAGCAGGTGCTGTGTCCCCAGGTGAGCTGTCAGGGTAGGAACCGCAAAGGGAAAAAGATGTCGTGTTGTTGTGCATGGTTGTTCTTCCACTTGCCATTCCCTGGAATGTTATCAGGCATCCAGGCTAGAAACCTGTCTGGCAGTACCAGCCCTGCCTAAATTCACTTGAAAGGTGAGAGAGCCCGAGCATGAGAGGAAACCCAGCCAGCCAACTATTAATTACCCTGCTAATAACGGCAAGTGAGCTGAGCTCATGGCAAAAACCTATAGGCAATCTAAAACATCCACTTAGCCCAGAGCTCTCCACTGTTCTTGCCATTTGCCTCTGTCAACCTTTTGCCAGGGAAGTTGTGTGATTTGTGTTTCACAATTTGATTTTGTGCTAATGTTGAGCGAAGTTGTCACATTTTCAGGCAGCAGGACACAGGCAGGACAGTCAAGGAATTGTCCGATATATATTATCCCCTGAATAAAACAGAGCAGGCAAAACAATCATGTTTGTTGCCCTAATAGAAGGGGGTGGTTCTTTAAAAACTGGCAGAACTTGACATTCATCCATTCAACAAACATGTATGTGTCACCTGCCACATGCCAGGTACCCATCGGGTACACACGTGAATTTTATGGATCTATGAGACACTTTAGTGTCCTTAGGCCAATTCCTTGTTTTCATTTAGTTCTGTTCCTGGTAACCCAATGATCCCAGAGAAAGACAGATGAAAATGAGGCGTAGTTTTGACTACCTTAAATGAAATCCTTGCCATTTATAAGGCATATGTAAGTAAAGAACAGTCTTAATGCAGACAAACTACTATAAAAATATTTAGATTTTCAGGGGGGAAAAAACTTTTAAAGACAATGTTTTAATTATTGAATTACCCTGGGGAAAATGTTTTCTAGGTTCACT